TGTGGTCCCCACTGTGTTCGTATGACAGCATGTGTAACCTTTGTTAGTCATGTCAGTGTTAGTTGGTAGTTATCTTAGACAACTTGTTATTTCAGTCTTTTATTTGTTTTATTTGCCATGTATGTATTAAGGGCAGTTTTGTCCTTTCCTACATTTAGTGAACATAACCTATAAATATTAAGAGAGTGGCAGCGGCAGACTCATTCAATCTGTCCCTCCTTTCAAAACCCTTGTGCAGTTCTGCTTCTTCTCCTTTCTTCTTCCTCTTCCTTCTATTTTTCTCAATCCGAAATCAGTTGGTATTCAAGACTGATTGTAGTCTTGATCGACTACTCCTTGCACAAAATGCACCAGTTTGGGGACAAGCACCAATTAGGCCTTTTCCTTTGGAGTAAGTCACAAGTATTACATCTTTCCAAGAAGGCTTCCCAACAAAAAGCTCCAATCCTTAGAGGGATCGGTTTACCCCATACTTCTTTTACTGTATAGAAGTCTTTGTAATGAAGATCTTGGTAATTTCACAGCTAACAGAATCTGGCATAGTGAAGCCCCATCCAAAATGAAGCATTTTGTTTGGACTACTGCTATAGAAAAATGTTTAACTTGGGACAAATTGTTGCACAGGGAATGGCTCTGGATCAGCAAGGGTGTGCTTTTGTTCTGAAGAATTGGAAACTGCCAATCATTTGTTCTTGCACTTCCCAAATGTTTTCAAAATTTGGAGTGGTCTTTTGAATACTTTTAGTTGGGTTGGCTGTTTTTGTCATTCCAACTGAGCTTTTATATGGAGCTGGCAGATCAGTGGTGTCAGCAGCAGGGGGAAAGTTGTATGGAGGATGATTCCTGTGGCTGCTTTGTAGTCTATATGGGAGGAAAGGAACTCTCAAGCTTTTGAACTATGCAGATAGTAATATTCTGCTGAACAGAACTAAAGGAAGGCTGTTCTTGGTTGGCTGTCCATAAGGATTCCTGGAGGTTGAGCTATAACAGATATTTTGATAGATGTTGAGAGAAATATTGTATTTGGCTGTATTTGGGTATATATGTAATATTGTGGCCTGTAGGGACATCTATGTATTTATGAGAGAAAAAAGGGGCTTCTGTGTAATTCAGATATACTTCGGTTTGTTGCTTATTTAAGCTAGTGGTTGTGTGAGATCAAGGTTTGAGGGAAAGTGAGGAAAAGAGTAAGTGTGAGAATGAGAAAGAGTTCTCATAGTGGATATGTTTCCTCTCCTCCCATGGATGTAGGCTACCAAGCCGAAGCACGTTAAACCTTGGTGTTTCTCTATTTCTTCTTCTTGTTTCTCCTTGAGTAGCTATTCTATTTTATGTTGGCTGACAATAGAGATCTTATTTTGTTGCTAATTTCTTGCTAACAAGTTCTATAGTCCTATACACAATGTGCGTACATGGTCTATAATTGTAGATCTTTTTGACTTTACAGTTAATACAATGTTTTACCTTTTAAAAAAGAACATACATTTAAAATTTAGAATTTTAGAACACCATTGAAGCTTTCCAATATTTCATTAAAATCATCGAACTTTTGTGAAAATACAAATGGATAATTTGCTTACTATTCTGATATGATTCACTTACCAAGTTGCTATAATACAAATGAAAAAGGAAAGGACATACAACTACAAAAGAGGATTCTCAATCTAATCAAAACATATAGTAACAAAATAAAAGTCAAGATGGCAAGCAAAAGACATACGGATTATGGAAAGAAGAAAACATGGATAAAAGACTAAAAGAGAGACAAAGAGAGATACTATTTAAGTCGCTTAATCTTCTTTTATTTGATATACGTAATAGTTTCTAGAAAAGTTCCTTAAATTTCCCCATATCTACAATTCTACATGGCTAAATGTTTGTCGATATCAAAATTACAAATCATACTTATTAGTAGTGTAATTCCATGTCAAAAAATCTTAGCAACTATAGAAGGGTATAATTTTTAATATAAGATATTTAGAGAGGGAAATAAAGAGCAATTAAAGAAAAACAAGGGGGTGAAGACCCCACACCCATTCAAGTTAGTGAAACAAAGACAGAATAATTGCAGGAAAAAGAAAATGAAGCCCTCTACATTCATCCTTCTCTCTCTAAAACCCTTGGCTCCTTTGTCCATCAACAGTAAAACCCTCAAACAAAACAGAAGTAATAAATATAGCACATGATAGAATGCATCAACACACAAACTAATATGATGCAACAATAGTAATAATATAATAAGCTGTCCACCTTTTATTTTTCTGCCCAAGCAACAGGGCAGCATGTCACCTAGACAGACATCTTTTTCATATAATATGAAATTCAAGCTAGGCATCTCTCAAGGGCATGTTGTTGCCTAAACAATGCCTTGACAATTATTTGAGGTATCTAGGGATGATGTAGAGTCCATCCCCCCAACTTACCCCCACAAAAGGAAATCCTAAGAGGAAGAAAGAATTTGAAGGTCGATCAACAGCTGAGTGCAAGAATGAAGACTAATGAAAAGGATCCACCCCAATCAAAAACAAAAAAGAAGAAAAAAAATTGTAATACTGCAAGGAACTACGTAGAAAAATGTGCCCAACATTTTCAAAGAAAAATACTGATAGTGAGTACTGATCTTAGAAATGTGTCATCTGGGCCATGTGCTTAAAAATTTTGAAGAATGCATACTTCAAACTAGTGAACTCAATCATTAGTTGTTTGCACAAAAAACTCAAGAATGAAATGCTAGAACACAGTAATACAGGAAGACACTAACCAGAGATATCTGAAAAGCCTGTAATATGGTTGCTGGCTCTCTAGGAACATGATGATTGTTCATTATGTATTCAAGAAATCTTGCAGCCACTCCTTTGACATCCTCCTGCATTTAAGGCCAAAAAGATTAAAAAAATACTATGCCAATTTCCACCTACCAAAAAAAAGTACTAATATTTCTTGTCCAAGATCCCACAATTCATCAAAGTCTCAAGGAAGACACAGATATACATAAACAATACAACTGCATGCCAAAAAAACAAAAAACAACAAAGCTGCATTTGTTTCAATATAAGGAGGGTGCAGAAGATTTTAGAGCAAAACAAATCACTTATGTTTTCACCCACATTATGATAAAGACTATATTTTCCACTTTACATTGAAACAAAACCAGCCTACAAGTAAATGGATGCATGAACCAATAATGTAGTTGAGGCAAACCAAAAGATGGTATAAATCAATGACAAGGAAAACAAACTGATAGAGCTACCTTAAGAAGTCTATCTAGTCAATCAATGGTGCTCTAATACCATGTAGAATTGTAGATATACAGAAAAATTCTATACATAGAAAAACTCTATGCTCACTTGCTCAGGGCTGTAAAAAATCTAAAATCTATCTAGTCAATTAATGGTGCTCTGGTTCCATGTGATCAACTTAGAATAGATTTGAGAAATAAAGAAAATAGGAGAGAAACAGACCTCAAACGAGTATAGATTGAAAGAGGAAGAAATAACAGAAAAGAGAAGAATCTTTCATCTTTTTTAGTTTGTCAAGCATATTGTATGTTTGAAAGTAAGATATCTGATTGGTGAAGCATGGCAATTGATGATTGAAACTTCATGCTGAAGAGATGGCATCAGTAGGAGTGACTGAACTCACTGAAGATTTTAGAGCAAATTGCGGGAGAGATTTGGTTTGGTTGAAAGCATGTCTCGTAGGAAGATTCATCAACACAGATCCTCAAGACATTGATGTCCTATGAGGGGCAACAAGAGAGTGGAGGATGAAAGAATTGGGAGTTAGAAGGCTAACTGGAGGACTGCTTCTTTTCATGTTTCAAACAAATCAGATGCAGATAATGTGCTGATGAACGAAGACGATGAATCACAGCAGAATCCTAACTAGGGGTTGGGAAGGTGACCCCTGCAGTCGGATTGATAGAGGCTTCACTTAGATTAATGTGTTTGGTATATCATTACACGTGCTGTTTTCAAACCTTCATAGCCATTGGAGACACATGTGGTTTGTAAAGAGACTGGGCCGAATGGGCCCTAGCCCATTAGTGTCTTTCTTATTAGTTTTTTTTTGTTATGTTTTCTTATTGGGCCTTTTTCTTTATGGGCCTTTAGCTCTTGTTTATGTTTTCTAAGTATAGTGCTGATCTGGACGCCTACTTAAGGGCAATCTTGTAAATTATGCAACTTAAGTAAGTTTTTAAAAGATTAGTGGGGGAAAAGAGGAGATTATCGAACTACTCCTTTCTTTTCCAATCTTTCTTCTTCTTCTTCCTTACTTTCTTTTGCTTTAATCTAAAATATTCTGCTAATTTTATTGGTCTGAATCACATCTTGGTATCAGAGCCACTTTTGACCAAGTAGTCTAGTGTTCGATCCTCATTACCCCCATTATAATTAATTAAATTTCAGCACAAGGTATGAGTGGGCCTATGCTTGTTCACACTTCAAGCCCAGTGGACTTTCGTGTGAGGGGGCATGTTGGAAAATATCAACCAATTCAAGGACCTCATCTAACAGCTTAAGCTTTTAGGTTGAATGGTTCTTTGAGATGGTATCAGAGCAGGAGGAAAGACTCTTCTCAAAATATTCCTTTGCATTATTAGATTGGAATATTTTGATCTGAGTGTTAAACTGGGTAAGTATAAGTTCATGAAATTTTTTTACAATATTTGGTACTTCATCCCGGGATTTCATAAGGTAAATCCAAATGTAACGGGAGAAATCATCAATGAAAAGAATGAAATATTTGTAACCCCCCATAGCAGGTAATGATATGGCCCCCACACATTAGAGTGCACAATATAGAAAGGAGAAACAGATCTTTTATTACTCACTAGAAAAGATTGTCTACAATGTTTTGCAAGTTCACATGACTCACAATGAAGACTCGATAGGGATATTCTCTTAAACATTTCTGGAAACAAATGACTTAAAGCTGAAAAAGACAAATGACCAAATCTAAAATGACATATCATGACTCTATTAACTGACTCTGATAAAACAGACTCCAAAGTTACTCCACTAGATAATCCAAGACTTTGATCTGAGACATCTAGCAAGTATATCCCATTCGCCTCATGGCCACTCCCAAACGTCTTCTGAGACTTCAGGTCTTGAAAAACACAATAAGTAGGAAAGAAGGTTATGCTGCAGTTCATTGATTTTGTTAAACTACTAACAAATAAAAGGTTAGTGCTAAGTTTGGGACATGAAGGATAGAGGATAATACTAGTGAGTTAGAGGCTTTAATATTCCCCTTTCCAGAGATGGGAGCAAGAGACCCATCGGCAAGAGAAATCTTCTCTCTACCCGAGAGGAGCCGGTATGAACAAAAAAGGTGAGGTATGCTAGTCATATGGTCTGATGCACCAGAATTTATGATACAAGGGATTCTACGATTACCTGAGGCTGTAGCATGATTTGCAGAAGCACAAATACATGAATGGACAAAAGCAGATGTAGAGGGGGTGCCTGAGGAAGAAGATGCAACAGTAGACTCCAAGTGGTTTATCAACTTCCCATATCTCTCAAATTCTGCCTTCACTGCTGCCAGCTGTTCCACAACAAATTTTTCTTCACATTCAGATATTGTAGCAACAATTGCATTCTTGGGCTTTCCAGAAGGTCTGGATGAAGCTTCCAACAAGAATCCTTAGTATGTTTCAGCTTTTTGTAGTATTCACATATCACCTCCTTTTTTTTTCATTTAGCCCCATTGGTTTTATTCCAACATGTGCAAAATGTTCTGGAGGAGGTGGGGTTTGTAGTTGTACCTGTTGCCTGCTCTCTTCACTGCTCACCATAGAGTATGCCTGAGCAAGTGACACATCATCCTTGGCCAGGATATTCTGCCTTGTAATATCAAATTCAGGATTAAGACCTGTAAGGAACTCAAACACCCTGTTTCTTTCCACAAATTTATTGAAAGTTTCTGCATCTTCAGTGCTTTCCCATAGATGTCACAAAAGGGGTATTGCTGTTTTGATCCGGTTTGTGGCACTCGCTTTGTTTCTAGAGATGTCACATTTGCAAAGTCTATTCCTTTCTTTGGTACTTTTCTTGAGGGGGAGCATTCAGAGGAGTTTCTTGCATTGTCACCATCTGGTCCTCTTCCAATTCCCATTGAATCTTCTATAGAGTCTCCTCCAGTCGAATCATCTATCCTTGCTCCCCCTCCTACTCATCCTCCTACTTTTCCTTACCATCCTATTATCCAAAGGTGATACCAGAGACAACGACTCAAAGGCATGCAAGTTGTTTTTTCAGAAGTGCCTCTTGCTCCTTCCATCACTACTGAGGTAACAAGTCAGCCCTCTTCTACCACTTCGGATACCTTCCCTGACCTTGATCTCCCTATTGCCCTTCGCAAAGGCAAACAGAAATGTACAGCTCGCTGGATTTCCAAACACCTGTCCTACAGCCTTCTTTCCCCTTCCTACTATTCCTTCCTTGCCTCTATTTCTATACATGTGATTCACAGATCTGTCCTAAATGCCTTGTCCAAACCAGAATGGAGGGATGCTATGATGACTGAACTAGATGCTTTGCATGAGAACAATACTTGGGAAATTGTGGATTTGCCTGAGGGAAAGGAACCGGTTGGCAGTAAGTGGGTGTTCACTATTAAGTATCATTTTGATGGTATTGTTGAAAGATATAAGGCCCGTTTGGTTGCTAAAGGATATACCCAGATGTATGGTATTGACTACTTAGAAACTTTTGCCCCAGTAGCCAAGATGACTTCAGTTCAAGTTTTGCTATCTTTAGCTACTGCTTTTGATTGGCCTCTTCATCAGTTTGATGTAAAGAATGCTTTTTTGAATGGGGACCTACATGAAGAGGTCTATATGTCTTTACCTCTAGGGGTGTATGGGAAGAAGATGCAAGGAAAGGTCTGTAAACTAAAGAAGTCTCTTTATGGCCTTAAGCAATCTCCTAGAGCCTGGTTTGACAGATTTTGGGCTGCTCTTGTTGCTTTTGGGTACACACAGACTCAGTCGGATCATACTTTGTTTGTTAAGAGGAGACATTCCTTAGTGACCCTTCTGATTGTTTATGTTGATGATATTGTGGTTACTGGTAATGATACTCAGGAAATTGTTCATCTCAAAAGCTTTCTTAACACTGAGTTTGAAATTAAAGACTTGGGAGAACTCAAATATTTCTTGGGAATTGAAGTTGTCAGATCTAAGGATGGTATCTTCATTTCTCAACGGAAGTATGTTCTTGATCTCTTTGCAGAGACTGGCAAACTAGGGGCTCAACTTGCTTCTACTCCTATAGACTTAAATCATAAGTTGTTAGCTACTGAAGGTGAACTGTTGCTTGATAAGGGAGTGTTCCAGAGACTAGTCGGGAAGTTATTATACCTTTGCATGACTCGGCCAGATATTTCCTATGCAATTAGTGTAATCAGTCAGTTTATGCATTCTCCCAGAGATACAAATTTAGCAGCTGCTAAGAGAGTTCTGTGCTATCTAAAAGAGACTTCAGAGAAAGGTATCTTGTTTGCTAAGCATGGACACATGAAGCTGGAAGCTGGAAGCATACACTGATGCTGACTGGGCCGAATGTATTGATGATAGGAGGTCCACTTCAGGTTACTATGCTATGGTAGCAAGGAACGTTGTATCATGGAGGAGTAAGAAGCAGTCTCTAGCGGTAAGATCCTCAGTTGAAGCAGAGTACAGGACAATGGCGCATGGAGTTTTTGAACTTTTGTGGTTGAGATCACTTTTAGATGAATTGGGTATAGACTGTGAGAAGCCAATGATGTTATATTGTGACAACCAAGTTGCTATCAAAATTGCACATAATCCTATTCAACATGACAGAACTAAGCACATTGAAGTTGGTAGGCATTTTATACGAGAGAGAGTTGCCTTAGGAGAAGTCTGTCTACCATTTGTTGCTTCTAAAGAACAATTGGCTGATGTTTTGACAAAAGGTGTTCCTAAAGGAAAGTTGGTTCACTATATAAAGCAAGCTGGGCATGATGGATATCTATGCTCAGTTTGAGGGGGAGTGTAGAGAGACTAGGCCAATGGGCCCTAGCCCATTAGTGTCTTTCTTATTAGTTCTTTCTTGTTATGTTTTCTTATTGGGCCTTTAGCTCTTGTTTATTTTTTCTAGGTATAGTGCTAATGTGGACGCCTACTTAAGGGCAATCTTGTAAATTATGTAACATAAGTAAGTTTATTAAAAGATTAGTAGGAGAAAAGAGGAGATTATCGAACTCCTTTCTTTCTCCTTTCTTCTCCAATCTTTCTTCTTCTTCCTTACTTTCTTTTGCTTTAATCTAAAATATTCTGCTAATTTTATTGGTTTGAATCACATCTTGGTTAATTCAAGAGATTTGATGTGTGTAATAGGACCTAGAAGCAGCTTCAGTTTGCAAGGTTGTTGACTGAAGTGGAAGATGTGTCAGAGTACGTATGAGCAAGAGAAGAAAGAAAAGAGAGAACTGTACAGGTGTGTCAAAAAGTGACTCCCCACACCCAAAAAAATATTTATATTAAAAGGTAAAAGAGCCATTTTGAACTCAAGATACAATTAGTGCACAGCGAGTATACATGGAAAAAGACATAATTAGCCCTCATCTTTGTCTCTACAACCAATGTCTCTATACTCCCCCTCAAACTGATGCCAAGGAATGAGTTTGTCCATAAGAAAAGTGTGTTGGGCCTGTGTCATAGCATTGGTAAGCAAACCTGCTAGCAGTAGCCCAGATGAGATATGAGGAAGGGAAATTTGACCTACAAGGACATCTCTGATAAAATGACAATCCATTTCAATATGCTTAGACCGCTCATGGAAAACAAGGTTGGATGCAATCTTCATAGCACTGAGATTGTCAGAAAGGAGTGGAACTAGAGATGGGAGATCAATATGAAGGTCATAGAGGAGTGCCTTGAGCCATATAATCTCACTACAAACCAAGGACATGGCACTATACTCAGCTTCGATTGAAGATTTACAAACTATAGATTGCTTCTTACATTTCCAAGAAATAAGAAAGTCACCCAAGAAGATACACCAACCCGTGGTAGACTGCCCTAGTGTCTAGACAACCAGCCCAATTAGCATCAGCATAGGCAAAAAACTGGATTAAGTGTAAATGTAAAAGTATAGGGCAATGGCTCATGGATTTCAAAACTATTGTGGTTGCACACCATCCTAACTGAATTGTGTATCAACCATTATATCCCCCATTAAACTATATTGTAACAAACAAGGTGCCATGGACATTGCCAACAACCCAATCTGACATGACTGCAATAAACACATTTGAGATTGATAGACACTTCATTCAAGAGAAGGTTACAAGTGGAGAAATTGATCCTCCTTTTATCAAGTCTGAAGAGCAGCTAGTCAATTGCTTCACAAAAAGTGCTCCAAAGTATAACTTGAGGCAAACTTATCCAAGTTGTGCATGCATGGCATATATGCTCAGCTTGAGAGGGAATGTTGAGAGCACGTTTTCCAATGTAAGGATAGCCTAGTAGGGCAGCTCAGTAAATGAGGCTCCTCCAATGCGGAATCTCGAGGGGGACAAATGTACACAGCCTTACCCCTGCACATATAGAGAGGCTGTTTCCAAGATTTGAACCCTTGTCATCCAGGTACGCAATGAAGCAATCCAACCATTGTGCCAAGGCCCTCCACAGTAAGGATATCCTAGTCATAATCATTATTTATGTACTGTTACACAAATAATAGTTGAGCTGTTGAGGGCCACAACTAACATTATTCTGACAACATATTAATATTTATTTTCTTCCTCCCCCCTCTTCCCATTGTTCTTCATTCTATTCTTGCTTCTTTTATTCTCCAAATTCCAACACATAATAATCATAACTTAAGAGATCCGGACCCTTCTCTTGGGTGATACCCTATCACTTAATCTTGTACCTTTTTTTCTTTTTTTTTCTAATAATGATTTTTTTACCATAAAAAAAATTGCCCAAGCAATGAAAGAAAGAAATCCACAATAAGGATATATACATGCTAATTAAGAATTTATTTTTTAATTTCTTTCCCTTTCTTTTTTTTTTTTTTTTTTTGAATGGGGGTGGGGGCTGGTGTTTATATTGTTCAGAGTGCAAGAAAGGCAAGCAATCTATCAACAATAACAAATTAAAATAGAAAAGATAACCACCAAAGCAAAATGAACTAAAATGTTATCAAGAAAAGAAGACAATTGTATGGTTATGTTATCCAAGACGCATACTGGAAAGTGAAGGATTTCACAAAGTTTTGAAATCTCTGGCTTCAATAAGAGGTGAAGACTCTTCTGTGAATCTCGTAATGTTCTTCCTTCATCAGATTCAGAGGGCTGAACTTCAGGCACTTTTGTGGTATCATTAGCTATTTTGGAGAGATCATGCATTATGTGACTGGCGCTATTCATATTAATTGCTGACTGTTGCAACACTTGGGATCCAGAACCACATTGAATTGTGGTCATTTCTATAGGGAAAACAAAAGATGGCATCAGTTTTTAAAATAGAAACTTAAGCGAATCAAAGATAATAGCTGGAAAGCTAAATCAATCAACTGTCCCTTCATTCCACAGCCAATAAACTAGAAATGTTTCAGAACAAAATAATGGATGATCCATAATTATGAAATACCAGCACAGCCCAAAGTTTTACCTTTCTTCCCCACGGGAGTTTCTTTTCTCTTATCTTCTACCCAAGGTCTGAGCAAGATTGGATCAATCATGTTGTTGATTACCTTCTTGCGCTTCTTTGTAATTTCATCACTTTCAACTTCAGCTTTTTTGGGTGATTCCTCAAAATATTGAACTTTTTTCCGAATTCTCTGAGTAGGCCGAGAGGAGTATCTCCACTGAGGTTCCTTTCGCTCCAGTATCTTTGCCCAAAATACATGTGAGCTTTCGTCAAACAACTGCCTTTCTGACTCACCAGGTAAAGTACTATCTACAGAATAGGTTGTTCCACTCTGCTGAACTTTTGCAATGATAGAGCAGTTGCTTGTTTCATTGTCTTCATTATCACAAGGTAACAGCTTCAGCAGTTCCCCAACCACATCATTCATGATTGACTGCTCAAAAGAAACATTTGACTCTGATGCTAGTGTTGTACAACCATGAAATTCATCCAATTTCTTGAACAAATAGGATGCACCCCAAATGAGCAGCATATGACTAGTACTACGGTTTATATTCTGTACATTGATATCAAGAGTCATATCTTGCTTTGACAGAATTAGAACTTTTTCTTCCACAGTGCAACATGAATATAAACGGAATACTTTTAACTGTTCAAACTGTGAATCAATTGAGATCCTTTGTAGGGCTCTTAAATCATTTAATGGATTCCAATCACTACCAAATAAAATAACAGTATCAACAGAACACAGTTTAATGCTTGGATGACAAGCACGATTTTCTAGTAAGAAAACGAATCTCCCTTGTTCCTTGTTGTTAAATATGTTTAAGGCAGCTTGCCTTTTTGAACTGAGCAATCCACTATCAACACGTTCATAAGAATCTGCACCAAATCTTTGGCGCAGGAAGTCATCTAAAATATCTCCAATAGAATTCCGTCCAGATCCACCAATTGACTGCCATATGAAAAGCATCCAAGTGAGAACAAAGTCATACCAACAAATATTTGTTTGCCTTCAGTATAACCACTCTAGTAAGCATTATGAGAAACAAATGAATATAAAGAAAAAAAAATATTGAACAAAATTCAGCAGTGCTACCCTCTATAAATTCATTAACCATCTCAATCAAACTTTAACCGCAACACACCACAATGAGAAACAGAATATATTCTAAAGAAAACCTGTATATAAATCATGCACCTGAAAAAGGATCAGCACTCTTAACCCTCGACCTTTAATCTCTGAAAGGATCCGATCAAGAAGTTGTAGCTTCCCACTTGCCTTCACACCAACGTCCAAGTACTCTATCTCTGGAAGACCTCTTGTCAGAAAAGTTTGCAAAGACTGATCTACAAGATAGGGATGATCACAGCACTGCAAAAAGATCAACAACAACATAAGCAATATCAACTAGAAAGAATGAGGAAATCTACCAAACAAAAGTAGCCATAAACATATGCATAATAAAAAGTGATAAACAAAATAATCATAAAAAATCATACAAATACAGTAGGCTGATTAGGGCAAATCCAAAATTTGATCAATGGTGCACATCCCTTGTGAAAAAAAATGGGATGTGCTTGACTTTTTCATAAAAAATCATACAAATACAGAAGGTGACCCTATTAAAGTACACAGGTGCATAGTGGTGCTTGACTTTTTCAAAGCATAACTTGTCGTTTCTTCACTAGGATCGTGCCCCTTTTTCAAAAATGGGTTGTGCTTTAATCACAAATGAACACAAAAATGTTAAACATTCAGCTAAAACAAAGCAAACAAGTCCATTCTAATGCAATGGCATTAAATTTGTCCTAACCTTCCTGACAGAAATAACAATCTCACGAAGGGCACCAACAGGATCACTTTTTGAATTTGAACGAAGTGACATGGAGTTTGCGAGAAGAGTAGCACAGTACTGCTCAAGCTGCACATTGGAAAGGTGTATAGGAACCCAATATTCTATAAACTTAGAGGAGTCGGACTTATGCTCAAATGCAACAAACTGTGCCAACCGCTTCTTCAGTTTACTCATGTTGTCAATGGAGTCAGTTTTCAAACTGTCACTGTTGATCTCCTCGCTTCCAGGATCAAGGAATGAGAGCAGATTGAGATACTCAGCTATACTATCCTGGAGAATGCCAGAGGAAGTTAATAATCAGACCTGCAATCACTGTTATAAAGACATCACCTGGCTGCTGACCAGGTCAAGATATGCTCTGGGAATCACCTCAAGTAGACACTTGATATGGTATAATTTCTCATACACCTACACCTAGGCAACAAGGCAACTGTCCGGGCTGGGCATGCAACACGACAAGGCAGGTGTCTTATGTTAATGCTATGAAATTTAAGATTATGGGTGTTGATATACCATATGATCCATATTAAATAGTGCACAAATTGAGTCACTATAGCTAATAGATAAGGTAAGACTGTTGCCAAATGCCAAGGCAGGTGGGAGCCTAATGGTGTGCTGCGCAACTTAATATTATAGATGCTATATGAAAGGGCATACAAAGTCACTGATACATAAGATCAAGTGTTTACAATAAAAGAAATACATTGAACCACCACAATTTTGAACTCTAAAGAAGGAATTGTTGCAACTCTTCTCTTTTCTGCTTTATGCTTCTTCCACTCCTTATTCTAATGACAGGAAGAAAAGGTAGTAATGTAGTACAGAGAAAAATAAAAAAAAAAAAGATAAAAAAGTGACCCTTCAATTTTACACCCTCTCTCTTTCTATCTAAACAGAGGTTCCACTAATAAAGTTGTCTTTTTCATGTTTATCCATCATCCCTTCCCCTTTTTCTATCCCTCTCTAGCTTCTTTTGCTCTGAACAGGAGCACCACCCTTAGGGATTTTTTTCATTTTTTATTTTACCATTTTTCCCTCGCCGCTCTCCCCTTTTTCTTTTTTCTTTCTTTTTTATTTTTTATAGATAAACAGGACTTATTTCATTAATAAAAACAATAATGTACACTTGTACAGTGAGGATTAAAAGGGGTAAAGATACTCCCAAAAGTACAGATATTACACTTGAGCCCAGTACAGTTGTTCCCTAACCACCACTTGCCTAGCTAATGAATCAGCCAGTCCATTGGCCTCCCTTGGAACCCATTGATAAATTACTGTTAATCCCATTAGAAGGCATTTGATTTGTATGATTGCAAATACAATTGATATTCGAAGTTTCGAACCTCCATTATTTTTGCTAGTTTTGTATTTAAGTTTTAAAACTACCCTAGCACCTAGATGAGTCTTGCCTTGGTACCTTAATTATTATGCCTGTAACAGAGAAAATCAACAGAAAAACATGAAGAAACAAACACCTTTACTTGACCACTAGCAACAAGAAGCCTAAAATCAGTTGTTAGCATCTTAATTTGTTCCATGTGCTTCGACACTCTAATTTGTTGGCACTCATCAACTATTATAGCCTCCCATTCCAAGCATTCCAATGCTTCTAAATCCTGCAGAAAATATGCATAAGTAAATTAGATCTCCATCAATTACGAAGAAAACAATTCCAAAAACATTTCAGATAACACTAGTAAAGAGAACTGAAACAAAATCCATTAGTCCTAATTAAAGCATCAAGACAGCACCACTTCTGATAGACCATTATGCACCTTTACTTGTTGATAACCAATGGTAAATCAAACACCTGAGAATAATGGTTTCTTGGCCCAAGTCAACCAGAAAAAAGACACCTAAAGGAACACATCTTTTCCTCTCCTCATCCTAAAGTCACTCATCCATGAGGGAACTACATTTCTTTTTCATATCCTAAACCATTTTAAAGCAACACAAATAAATCCATAAGTACCTCAACTATATCCTCTGGCAGTGATAAAAGTGCTTGGAACATTATGCAACCACCTTCCTCATAAAATTCTAGTGACTGTATACTCTTCCGGATGTCTTTGCTCCCATTGTAGACCACAACATTGAAACATGGTGCCAAACGCAAGAACTCGGCCTCCCATACAGAAAGGGCAGTTGGGGTAGTAATAATGAGGAAAGGACGGTGTACATCAGATTGCAGTGATAAGATAAATAAGATAACCTTCATAACCCTCTCCTGCAAACATAAAATACATCAGGACCTGTTGGAGTTGACGATTCTAAGTCATGTCATTAAGAATCTGGATTTCTGGGAATATTCAATTAGTATTCTGGTCCAGGAGTACAACAGACCCATGACCCATGTCCAGAATCACTATCCATGACCCATTTGCCAACCCATAAACCTTGGAACCATCTATAGAGAAATGAATGCACCTTTTAGTCATTACCTTTAATATACCCATGCAAAACACACAAATATTTAATCTTCTTATTTCCATCATATGTCACACCTACAACATAAAAACAATCGGGGGAAAGAAAAGCCAATTCTATGTGCAAGGTAGTCTTATAAATGCAGAGAGGTGATAACTAGTCATTTGGCCTCTCTAGCCAATGCAATGACCAGTTGATGCCCAGGCACTGACTAATCAATGAAAAGAAGATATGTTCTAAATTTAAGATATTGATGCAATCTCAGAAATAAGTCAATATAGACTATAACTATGCAAAAAAAAATGATACGGAACATTTAGTTTAGGGCCTTTGTTTTTGGAACATAAAATAAAGTTAAGCATAGCCAGACTAGGTTTGCATGAGATCTTTGATCAGGTATCATGCAAATCTTCCTTGGGCAGCAATCTTTAATCACCAAAAGTCTCCAAAAATCCGGCCAATCACATCAAGCAACCCAACTCTCCTATCTCATGCAATCAGTTGGACTAGGTTTGCATGAGATCTAAACATAGCTGAATTTAGTTCTGATACCAACTTGTCGAGTAGAATCACACCAAAAAATACATATTTTAGAATAAATAAAGCATAGTAGAGAAATTAAGAAGAATACAGAACAAGAGAAGAGTGAAGAAAGAATGAGAGGGAAGCACAAAGATTGTGCTGCCACTGCCTATCCAGGTATTTATATCAATAAATCAATGTACAATGACAATATTGCCCCTTCCAAAAATATAACAGAAAAAAAACATAATAGCAGCTAATCAAAACTATAAGAAACATATATGAAATAAAATAAAAACTCATCAACATTAAAAACAGTCCAATGCATCATCTCAAACAAATAAATAGAGATTTAAAACTTTAAGGTTAACAAGGTTGACTAGTTTTCAATATCTGGATAACAAAGTTGACTAGTTTTCAGTTTGGGAGGGACTGTTTCTGGGGTGTTACCTTAACACATGTTTAATTCGTTGTATTCAATTTGCGTTTCTTTAATAAATTTTCCTTTTACTTATTAATCAACTTGTCACACGTTTAGTCGTACTAGGCAACTACATCATTAGTATCAATCAACTAGTTAGGGATGCAATCACTCCAGTACTCAAGAAAGGGACTAGTCAACACTTTGATAACTAAAGCAAAGCAAAATAAACACTTGGAAAGCCAATACAATAAAATTTGGATAACAACTTGATTGAACAAGCATCTACCTGATCATCAATGGCAACAGCATTATGGCCCTTGTGCCAATACTCACAAAGCTTGTTGACGTAATTTAGATAACTATCACCTAGTCCAGTAGGGACTCCACTGGGTAGCCTTGACAGTTTGACAAACGACCCTTTCCTCTCATGTGGTACCTGCAAATTGTTAATTGCAAATGAACAAGGAGCTCAGACTGATAAAAACAGAAATACAAGATAAAAATCCTCACACAATACAACCAGTTAAATATCTGAAACCCCCTGAAGGAGAAAATAAAGAACGTGGCATGCAGTTCATCAGAAGTTGAAATAAAACCAGAAAGCGTAATCTGAAACAAAAACACCTTGAAACTGAGAAGCAAATAGCATAAACAAGATAGATACTGAAAACACAACATGTTTCAACTTTCAAATAGTAATGACAAAAATTGGTACATTCTCTTTTACAATTCAAGCTTGAATGCAAGGTTTAAAATGTAGAAGTTGGTGGAAATGTCAGTCATCCAAATAGAAGAAACATGAGGAAATGTTGGAAATATTGTAAAAATTATAGGCATGGTGGGAACATTGTAAAATATGCAAAATATAGAATTATATTTTATAAAATGATAAAAGAAACATAGGCAAACCTCTTTAAATTAATGTCTTATTCCAAATCATTAAACAAAGCTAACAAACTAAGGTTATAGACAAAAGAATATGTTCTGGAAACTGTCATGTAAACCCTAATATTCAAAGCTTCATGATAGAATGAGTTAAAGCAAAATTTTAACTCATAGCAAATGTAAATGGATGTAATAGAACAACCAAAAAACTCTATCACACAAACAAAAAGCTAATATTTAACTTCATGTTTGAAATGAATATTGAGCTAGCTCCAAGTGGTAATCATGTAAGTTAGGCAGACAATAACATTGTTACTTCACATATCTACAATATTGTCACCAACTTGTGTTATAATACTATCTCTTGGACTCCACATAGTACTTGGGCAGTGTTCACTGGGGAATATGTCAATTCTAGTAAAATTTCATGTTGCTACCCATGGAAGTCAAAATGGAAATATGTCATGGAAACTAGCTCTTGTACTCCACATAGTGTTGGTAGTGTTCATTGGGGAAATGTCGATTCCGGTAAAATTTTGTGTCACTACCCATGGAAATGGAAATATGTCGTGGAAATATTAGGAAAATTCGGGACATTTTAGACCATGCTCGAAAGAATAAGAAAATATATATGGAATTATGTGCTAGAATGCCAGCAGTTTGCTCCCAATCACAAATTAAACATTTCCTAGCAATTTGTTTTGTTTATAGTGAATTATGATGATTGGTCTATTTATATCAACATATTTCTAGAGCTAATTAGTATGCATTATAACCAGCATTGTCTTGTTCACATGCTTTAAACATATAGTTATCAAAACCTTACAATTTATGATGGATTCACACTTTGAATTGTGATTCTCATGGGTTCCAATTGACTGAAAGGTGAGACTAATACAATATGATGGACAAACCACCAACCCAAGAACAACAAGTTTAAAATAATGCCCAAAATAGTTGTTGTCTGCCTATCTCCAATTCAAATCTTTTAATCGAATTCCTTTTTGAATAAAAATCTTATTATTGCTATTTGAATCATATGATTAGATTCGTGAACCTTACAGTTTATCCGATTCAAGTAACTCAAACCAAATTGAATTGAATCAACTTCTTTGTCATATCATTCTAATATTGTTCAAAGGGCTTTTGTTCAAAAATAGTTTCTGGATGAAATCCCATTTGGGTTACTCAAAATCTATTTAAAGACATGTTGAGTTAATTTTACCACTTCTATAAGTTAAAGGACCATTATGTATGGGTCGCTTGACTATGTAGTCAAACATGAATATATCATCTTTTATAGTATAGAATCGGTACATTTCATTATATTAATTATTTATGCAGGGAGTGCGGACTAAAAAGGTGCAAAAATACATTTCCATATATTTAAGTTCTTAGTGTATAGCATTTTAACATTTTTGACTAATTTTCAAAAAATAGAAACATTATGATTTACAATAGGATCATGATTACATTCAATTTAACCTTCTCAAAAACTTATGATTACAAGTAAAGTAGCCAACAGACACCTGAGAGAAGAAAGAAAAAACACCCAAACCACCCACTCACAACTCTGCTAAAGACTCACCATAACAAACAGTAGAGAACAGTACAAAAGCATAACTCTCCAAATCAACAAGAAAGGCAACAAACTACCATCGAAAACCAAGCACGAGACTTGAAAAACACAAATCTTAACTTCAACCAAACAGACTCCACAAATTGACCGCCAATCGCCAATTGGACCTTTTTGATTTTCCTCATCTAAACCCTTCTACCAATGGAACCAGGTACACCCTTTGAAATTATTATCTTGTTCAAAATCACTAAACAAAGCTTAGAAACTAAGGTTATAAACAAAAGAATACATTTAGAAGTTGCTCTGTAAACCTTAAGATTCAAAGTTTTATGATAGAATGAGTTAAAGAAAATTTTGAACTTGTAGAAAATCTAAATGGTTGTAATATATCAACCAAATAATCTATTACACAAAAGACAAACTAATATTTAACTTCATACTTGAAATGAATATTGAGCTAGCTCAAAGTAGTAATCGTGTAAGTTAGGCGGGCAATAACATTGTTAATCCACATATCTACAATATTATCACCAACTTATGTTACAATACTATCTCCTGTACTTAGAGGTATAAATTAGGTCGTGCCACCCGTGGCCTGGCACGATTTTGAACCAGCCTGGCCCAGCTCGACACGATGATTCATGGGCTATGTCGGGCATGGCACACTTGTATGGGTCATGTCAGGCTAGGGGTTTCAGGTCTGTAGGTTGGGCCGGACCGGCACGACCGAGCAGGTCGTGCTACCTGCGGCCCGCATGTCAGCACGACCCATATATATTTATATGTATTTACATATATTTTATTAATAAATTATATATTTATATATAATATATCAAAAAATAAACAATTGTTTTCAATTTTATTATACTATTTTATTTAATTATTGTATATATAAACAATTGTATACATCAAAATTCACCGGGCCAGCACGCCTTACAGGTTTCCCTATGGACACGTGTCAAGGGAAAGACCTGGATCTCACTGGTGTGCTCGGGTGTTCTATTCGATCGCCTCTGAGGCACCTCGTTACAACTGGCTATGAACAATGTTTTAAAATACGGAGGCGTGACGCGAGGCATTCCACTACCTAGAGGCTTGAGGCGTAGTTCAGAACGCAAGAGGCGTAAGCCTCTCGAACACAAGGAGGCATAAGGGGTAAATTTAGGGTTATGAAGAAGTTTAATGAACATGTAAAACAGCCCTAAACGTTTATTTAACGGATGGATTCTTCATGTTACATGGAGCCATCATACCAGGTATATCTAAGTAGCTTTGCAAATTAGAGGGATACTTACGTATTTTGATCAAACTATGGGAGACATTAATCCTACCAGCGTTTAACTTCCTAACCTCCATAAAGTTATTCAAAACCCCATTCTTTCCTTGCCACCATAGTACATCGACTTCCAAAAGATCCAAGCTGGCATATCTTCCCACAATACAAGCTTCTAAACATGCTGAAACCTCCCTCAGTTTCCCGCTCTCCCTCACAATAACACTTAATGTCACCATTTCACTCATTGTCTCGAAACACATTGATCCAAACTAGAATTTTTTAGGGCCAAATGACATAAAAGTTGAGTGCAATTCAAGCATTACAAAGTTCAAGTTTAAGATAATAAAGCATATATTACTAACTTAAGTATTAAAAATGCTGAAAATGTCTCCCTTAGACTAGTCTCAAACTAAACTGAAGTGAAGCCATTTCACAAGAAGCTCCAAAACAGGCATTGTAATTTAACACTTCATTTTTAGGTATAACTTATAAGTGCTACACCAATGACAGAAGTATATACTTTTTTTTTTTTTTATCAATAACACTTTCATTAATCATCAGTAGAAAATTTACAGGAGGAAGATAAGCACACTTATCTTCCAAGAGTCACTAAGAGCCTCATAAAAGAAAGAAAAAAGAAGAAAAAGAGAA